TATATAAAATGGCATAGTAGTTATATTATTTAGGAAATAATAACAAGAAAAGTCTTTACATGTACACTACAGACATAATTTTTTTCTGAATATTTTCAATCTGTAGTTGGTTGAATGTACAGATGAAACCTGCAGACATGGAGGGCTGACTATATTGTAGAAAAGACGAAAGCGCTAATATCATCATTAAACTTCTATCTTAGGAAACTAGGAAAAGAAGAGCAAATAAAATCCAAAGTAAGCAAAGGAAAAGAAATAAAAATTAGAGCAGCAGTCAGTGAAAATGAAAACAAGAAATAGGTATGAGAAAATCAACGAAACCAAAAGCTGGGTCTTTGAAAAGATCAAAATAATTCATAATCTTCTCAGCAGTCTAAGAAAAAAAAAGAGAGAGAGATATTACTAATACCAGAAATGAAAGAGGGAGAGCCAGCTCGGTGGCCTGGTGGTTAAGGCAGCCAGATACCACATGGCTGATCCTGTAGTTCTAGTCCTAGACTCAGCAGCTTGAGAAACACACTAGGTGCGTGTGTATGTATGCCCCAAGTCTCAACAGGCTGGAGAAATGGAGAAGAGATTACAGTATGACCAGTCCCTGTGGAGAAAATTACCCTCTTCCCTCTCCTTTTCCCAATCTCTGTGTTTCTGGCAATATTACCCTAAAATGAAACCAGACAGAGACATAAAATAACAGACCCAATATTTCTCAGAAACTTTGATGTAAAAATCCTCAACAAAATGCTAACAAATAGAACCCAGCATTGTATAAAAGCAATTGTGTTCTACAACTAAGTGTGATTTATCCCAAGTGTGCAAGCTTGTCTCAACATTCAAATAATCCATCACATTTACAAGCTAATGAAAAAAAAATCACAGGAACAGATCAATAAATGAAGGAAAAGCATTTAACAAAATTCAATAACCTTTCATGATAAAAAAAAAAAAAGAACAGCAAAAAATAAAGCCACTCTTAATAAGAACTTCCTCAAGTTGATAAGGAATAGCTACAAAAAACCTATAACTAATGCCATATTTAATGGTGAGAAGTTCAAAACTTTCCCACTAAGATCAGGAAGCAGCCGTGGTGTCCCTTTTACCTCTGATTTGCAATATTATTACTGGAAGGCTGCACTAATGCAATAAGACAAGAAAAAGAAGTAAAAGCAATTCACAGTGGGAAGGAAGAAGCAAAACTACATTCATTCACAGATTACAGGACCATCTACAGTAATCCTTCATATTCATGGGGGATATGTTCTAAGACCCATTGAAGCCACAGGTGGTACTGAATGCCATAAATGCCATTTTTGTTCCTGTACACAAGCACCTCAGATAATTTAATTCGTAAATTAAGCACAGTAAGAGCTGAGATTGACAACTGATAGTAAAATAAAGCAATTATAACAATATACAGTACAATTTAAAATTTGTAAAAATTGGCTGGTCCAAACTGAGATGTGTTGTAAGTGTGAAATATGCATCAGACTTAGCACAGAAAGAATTAGCACAGAAAGGTATGTAAAATATCAAATTACATTGATTAAGTTTGCTTATGTATTCCATATATAAGAGAGAGAATAAGACAGCACCCTCAACAGGATTTCAGTGCCGCAATCACCCTTAACTTCAGCAGCCCTAGGTGAGGCACAGGTGTGCCTGGTATATTCGGAGACGTCTCAATGCGAATTTGAATCCTCTCCATGTGGGTTGGCCTCAGAACATATTGTTTTACCCCTGTACTACTTTCTGGCTCCCATCTGATTAATAATTTGTCATTGGTTACACGCAAATTAAAACATTTCTGATCTATTTAAGTAAATAAACTATTAAAAAACTAGTTTCTGTTACTTGTTTTTAGTTTTCTTAATGTAGCTTCTGAAATTTTAAATTACACACGTGGCCTGTATTGTATTTCTACTCAGTAGCTCCACTCTGAGGATTAAACTTGTTTTTCATAAAATTAAGATCTGGTTTCACTTGGTCAAGCTTGTTTTTAGAAATATTACTTCATCTTCTCAAAAATAAATAAATAAATAAATAAAAGAATGCACGGTGTTAACCTTGGAGCCCTGTTGCTAAAACTTGAAATTTGAGTAGAGGTGAGGTTAAGTAACTTAACAGAACCAAAATCTTTGAAAGCATCTGACCTTCTTTTTTCCCTCCCACATGCCTCTCCTGCCCGAACCTCGGTGATTCCTCACAAAACAGTACGGTAAGAGTTGTTTCTATACGTTTGTGCTTTCGTAGCCTTTCCGCGCTGACAGTCACGGAACAGATGAGTGTGTGTGTGTGCTGCAGGAGGCAGCCATCAAGGGGCGGGCTGCGGGCAGTGCTGGGCTGCTTCCCTGCTCCTGGGCTTGGGAAGGAGTGTGCGTATATAGGCCAGAAGATGGTGTAGTGGCTGGTGCACTGGATTCCTACATGGTTGACTGTGGTTCAAGTCCCAGACCCAATGGCTTGGAAATCACAACAAATAAATAGACAAATAAGTAAATGTTTAAAAACGGGGAAAAAAGGAGCATATAATGGCTTCCTTGGTAACAGTCAGGGCAGAGCAAGGGTCGCCCATGGTACGGTGGGAACGCACCACTCATGAGAAGCTGGATCCCACGCAGCGACCGAGGTTCAAATTCCTGACTGGGTCAGCCTGAACACACTGGGCACATGTCCAAGGACATGAGGCAGGCATCATGATGTGATCAGGCCCTGTGGAGGGTGCTTGTCCCTCTCTGTCACCCTTGTGTGCGTGTGTGCACATGCTATGTCATGAGTGAAAAAGAAAAAGTACCTGACGACGGATGAAAGGAAAAGGGGAAAGAAGGTGAAGATTTTTCCCTGTCGCTGGCCCTCTTTCCCATGGTGGCATTTGCTGCTTGCTTCAGTTTGAACTGCCTTTTGGCCACACGTAAGAGTTTACAATGGAGGAAAGGTGCTTTCCACTTCACCCACAGCAGGCTAGGGGAGCGCAGTGCGAACGCTCCTCAGGGCCTGTGTGTGCTCCACTGGCAGCGCTCCGACCTACAGCTGACACACGCATCTACACTCCAGTGCCATCACTGACCCAGAAGCCCCTAGGGTGCGTTAGGTTTCGGGGTTACACCGCTGTCACCTCCGGCTGCTGTGGGAAGACAGGCTTGCACCTAGTGGTTGATGTGCCCCTCTCAGAAAAACCATTCAGCCCTGTGACAGCCCTCAGAGTCCATGCATGATGACGCAGACACTGGGGCCACCACAGTGCAGAGAGGGGAGCAGGTTTCGTGGAGAAAGAGAAGGGCCTAGGCCGAGTGGAGAAAGGCCTGTCCGAGAAGGAAGATCACTGTGGAGTGATGGAGAGTGGAAAGTGAAGAGACACCAGTAAAGGGAAGGTAGGAAAAGAAGTAAGTCGTCAGGAAGAGGTGGAGACCCTCCTTCTCCCTGCAGAGGTCTGGGAGTAGGAGAAAGGACATCTAAATATGAGAGATGAAGTTTCAGCAATGTCTAACATACAGCTGTCTGACTAGTGACTAGCCCAGAATCTCAGAGCCTTTAAACCAGCTGTTTACAGAGTGTGTGCCTCCAGCTACGCTGGAACTGTGCCCCTGTAGTCAGTAAAGCTGGGCCCATGGCTTACACCGGGGCCTTTCAACATCTTGTGTCATGCCAAATGTAATTCTCACTTATTTTTCTGTATCCCCCTTGGTTTCTACTTCTTGGGGACTATTAACAACCCTACTCGATAACAGTAAGGCAAGGTCCAGCAATGCCTTCTGCAGTCTAAATTTACTGATTTCTCAAACACTGACAGGCAAAAGTCCGGAGAGGGCCATTCTCACTGTTTAATGTTCTTATAACCAGAAAGTGCTTACTGACAATATGTAGTTGTTTTTCATTTTTAAGATGTTATTTGCAAGTTCTATATTAATGAAATAACTTTTTATTTAAGGTATAAAAGCTATGACCTTATTTCACTTTGGCCTCAGGAATTGGACATGTCCGTCGTTAAACATGCACAGCTTAATTCTGGTATTCCAGGATACCAAAATATAGTTGTAGAATGAAATGTCGTTCCATTTCTTTAATATACATTTTTGCTGTTACTTCAAAAGTATTTTCCTATATTCTTAATGTTTTAATATCTGGGTCCTGGGGTATAGAATTTCTAGTTTTTGATCTGGATAAGTCATACAAGCTGAAAAACAATTCCCTCAGTAAGTTCCTTTCTTCAGGAAGAGTCTCAGGGCCAACCCGTGGCCTAGTGGTTAAGGAATTTCACATGGCCAGGCATGCAGTTTGAATCCTAGCACCTGCAACTTGAGAAACACTCCAGGTGCATGTGCATGCATGCCCCAGATCCAGACTGGGTGAAGGCATGGAGGAGAAGGCGTTGCAGCGTGACTATATCCCATTGGGGATGCTTTCTCTCTCTCCTTTTCTCTGTCTCTCTCTCAGGCTGGCGCACGTACTCTCTAGCAATTAAAAAAGTGAAAGAAAAAAGGAAAATTATCCAATTTAGTGTCTGCATTTTAAGAGTTATTAACAAATGATGAAAATTTGAAAAATGTTTTGACAGATAAGCATTATATTACAGAGAATAGTTTTAACAATAAGGCTTAGATTATAGTAGGAGTGAATTGTATAAGAAGATAATTTTGTTTTTAAATTCTCTAGATGGGAGAAGATTATTTAGTTGTAAACTGGAAACTGGTAAAGACCTTACTTATTGCCAAATCCTTTCTAGTTCTGGGCTTACCATGTAAGAACTGCTGATTCATAGGAAACCACTTGACCAATCAAATGTTGACTCTCCATAAATTGACCCAGTAAACCTATGAAATGTAAACATGAACATTCATTTTCACACATTTTATTATGTTGTTGGGAAAGTTGTGACATTTTTCTGTTTTTCTATGCAGAAATGCCTTATGATTTTCCCAACAACCCATTAATTACCATTTAAGGGAAATTGCCACTCTGTAATAGTTCAGCCTGAACCTTTTCCTCTTCTTTTTTTTCTTTTTATTTTTTTAAATCTCTTTTCATTTTTCTGTAGCACTTCTGGGGCCCTGTAGCCAACTGGGGTCTGCCCATCGCGGCCATCAATGACATGAAGAAGTCTCCCGAGATTATCAGTGGGCGAATGACATTTGGTAAGGGTACCAATGGGGTAACTGGGAGGACTTTAGACATCATGCAGCCCCTGTGTACCTTTAGGTTTGTAGCAGCAGCTACCTTTATGGTTAGAAAGTCACAGGAAGGGCCAGTGCCAGGGTCAAATGGTTGGGAGCTGGATCCCACATGACCGACTGCACGGTATGAATCTGGGCCCTGGTGGCTTGAAGAACACATCAGGTGCATGTATGTGGATGCCCAAATCTTACCAGGATGGAGAATCAGAGGAGGAAGGGTTGCCATGTGACCACATCCCGTCAAGGGATGCGTTCTCCCTCCTTCCTGTCTCTGTGTGTCTCTGGCAAGAGCACATGCCCTCTTACACACGAAAAAGAAAAACTCACATGAAGAATAGGATGGCATCAAGGAGCGTCCCCTCCTCTGATGGGGAAGAAGCAGGGTTAATTCGAAGTAACTATCCAGGAAATATTAGCATCCCACTTCCCTTTCAGTTCTAGTACATCCAACAGGAGCATGTGCATCTTGACTGTTCTAAGAGGTTCTGCCATCAACTGTATTTGGGAAAGTTGTCAGGGTTATGTGAAACCCTGTGTCTGAATATAAAACTATGGCTAAGGGAATAACTGTTCCGATTACAAACAATTTAGAGGACAGAAAAATGGCGGAACAAATCCCAGCCTATTCTTACTGATATGCACCTCACATATTTCATAAATAGAAACATGCTGGGCATGCAGCCTCCCGGTCATGGAGGCGTGTACTTTTATCAGCTATCACAGGACTTAGCAGGACAGGTTTTGTGTGTGTATGTTTTGAAGGCAGTGGACTGTCACCCTGTGGCCCCCTCCACACTCAGTTTTCTAAACCACGAGTTACAGCTTCTCTCTGCGATTTCCGGCAGCCCTCTGTTGCTATTCTTTGACGTTCATGAGATTCGCCTACAAGGTGCAGCCTCGAAATTGGCTTCTGTTTGCCTGCCATGCGACCAACGAGGTGGCCCAGCTCATTCAGGGAGGACGGCTCATCAAGCACAAGTAAGTGGCTGCCGCGGCCCTGGGTTTGGAGGAACTGGGGCGACTGAAATGAAATTTCACCTGAGGCACTGGGGTCTGGGCTGGGTGTGTCTGTGCAGCTGGGCAGAGCGAAGGTGCACGTGAACTGCTTTATAAAATGCAGGGTGTGCAAGGGTGTCTTAAAGCCTTCCGAGCCTCTGAGGCTGCTGTGAAACTTCGCTTCTCACCAAGGTGGTCCTTGTGTCTGTTTCCAGGATGTCTAAAAAGGCCTCTGTGTAGCCACAGGAGACACAGCCAAGCCTCGGAGAGGACAGCATTGCCAGCTACTGCTATGGAGTCACAGATCCCCTCACACGTAGTTGTGCTAAGGAGCCGCGCTGAGCATGCGTACTAACCGCGCTATTTCTATAGCAATGGCAAGAGCCTCCGGCCTGCTCATTGCCCCAGCTGCCAGTACTGAGCAGCTTGGGCCCTCCCTGGAGGGCAGCTCAAACATGGAATCAGTGTAAAAACTTCCAGAAATGGCTCTTCTGCAGTAACCCATATCTCCCCATTGGAACTCACTAAATGAAAGCCCGAAAAGAGCCAAGTTCGGAACTACCGGCAGAGTCCCTCAGAGTCCCAACGTTTTCACAATCACAGGACCCCCACAGCTGGCCACCCACACACCTGAAATCTACTCCAGTGTTGGAAAAGCGATCTGTGTATTTCCATGCAGTATGTATATCAAAATGCTGTAACTGAATGCAATAAATGATTCAAATATTTGTTACCTGAGTGCGATTAAATGTCCTGCTGTGTTTGTTGGAAACTAGAACTGAAAAGACAGTGATAGGAGAAAAATGGAACTCCTTGAAAATAGCTGAGGGAAAGGAAAGCTGAAGAGCCAGTTTCTTCTGGAAAGTATGAACAGCCCAACTATCCTAAATGCATTCTTTTCTCTTTGGATAAATTTAGAAAATAACCCCAGGCTAGTGGGTAGTATGATGGTTAAGGCACTGGACGCCCACGTGGCCAATCCCAGTTTGAGTCCCAAATCGGCAGCTTCAAAATCACGCCAGGTGTGGGCGTGGTGGCGCCCGCCTTATGGCAAAATCACACCAGGTGTGTGTACACACATGCCCAAAATCACAAGAGGAAAATAGAGGAGAAGGGATTAGTGTGGCCATCTTCCCTGCTGGGTGATTTCTCTCTCCCTCTACTGTCTTTCTGTCTCCAACAAGTGCATGTGCCCTGAGGCAAGCACCTGAGAAAGAAAAGGAAAGAAAAGAACAAACGACCGAACCCCAGGCCACTATCGTGAGGTGTTCTGGGTTGGTTTTCCCATCTCTAAAAAGTGATTTCTAGAATGCTTTAAGAATTGCATTATTTTCTCAGATGAAAACTGTTGAGCTGTAATACCAGAAGGCGCATTGAGCCCTAGGTCCTCGTGCTGCCCTGGAGAGAGCAAGCAGGGCTCCAGGAAGAGGGAAAGCCTGCCAGAAGCTGCCCCAAGGGTCTGACCACAGACCCGAGAACACAGCCCTAGCTCATGGGCTATTCTGTAGTTGGAGTGGGGTCTTGAGAAAGTTTGACCTGAACATGCACATGGTCCCCTGTTCTGGCAGTGCCATGCAAGGGCATCAGGGAGCCTGTGGGGAGTGGGAGGGCAGCTGGCAGAGGAGGCCAAGACCCCCAGGAGTGCCTCTTCTCTCTCTTGGGCTCTCTAAAGAGCTGTTTTCTTTCCAAGGTGCTGTGCAGTGTACAAAGCACTCCACACATGTTCTCTCTCTGAGCTGCACACAGCCTTGTTGAGGAGGGAACATGGCCAAGAAGTCGTGAGACCTGATACTTGGCAGGCCCAGACACCACATCCACCCAAGACCACGCAGCACCTGAGACCTGGCGGGCAGTGCCAGGCCAGGCTCTCAGACCCCATTGCCACAGCTACCTACAGTGCAGTCGAGGTCAGCCCAAGGAAGTGCTGCTAAGGTCGTGACTGGCTAAGTTAGAACCATTCGTCCTACTTAGCAAACAAGGAATGCTGCCCCAGGAACATTCCTGCGACTCAGACACACATGTGCTCACTCAAACCTTCAGCCTCCTGTGCCCTTGGCCTGACCCTCTGGAGTTGGCTGGTCAGTTTTCGTGGTTCCTCCTTTCTATTACCTTGCAAAATGCCTGCTGGTCACCAGTACTAAGGAGCAGGTGGCTTCCCACACCTCCATCAGAAAGACACGCTCACCCCCAAAGGATGGCCGTGTGCGGGTCAGACCAGCTGAACACCTAGAGGGCTCCAGAGATGCAGGCAGATGTGGGGGACGAGATCACGGAAGGCCCCAACGAGCACTGGGGCTTTGGTTCTGTTCAGGCAGCTTTTGTCATACTCCCAAGGGGTCGTGTGAGGTAAGTCCGGCCAGCCAAAGCTTCATCCAAGGTGAGGAAGAACCGTGAGGAAACACGTGCATTAGAGCGTGTGCAAACACAGGAGGAGCCGTGCGCAGCACCCTGAGGGAGCCCAGAGCCAGGGTGTTGACTGGACCCAGGGAGAGCCAGCCAGAGGGGGACTGATCTGCACCTGCCCGCCAAGAGGGCTGTCGAGCCTTCAGCCATCGCCTCTCTCTCTCTGCAGAGGCCTGAGCACAGGCAGAGACAGGCCAGGATAGATTCACGGTGGAAAAAAGGGCATGAGGTTTCCCGCTGTCGGAGGGCGGTTCCTAACTCAGAGCACTGAGAGCAGCCATGAAAGCTGTGTTCCAGAGCACAGCTTTGCCCAGGTATTCAGTTGCCTTCAATGTCAGGTTGATTGTTTATTCATGACTGAGGGCATGCACCTGCATTGCCAGGCTCCTGAGCGTGTGTGCAGCCCTCAGGTCAACTGGGCTTCCAAACCCATCAACCACGCTGTCTCCAGCACTGCAGCGGTTTGTCATTGGCCGCCACCAGGCTGTGTGCTGTACCCAGTGGCAACTGTTAGCTAAAACGACACTCAGAACTCCTGGCAAGTGTCCCTCAGCAAGTACTTACCCAGCGAAGACTGGCAGGTGTCTCGATCCCATGCTCCCTGACTAGAGGTGGAAGGCCCCTTGGGCAGCGCTGACACCAGGCCCTGGCCAAGCCCACGCTGCTGTTTCTCCTGGGGACTTTCCAGAACTTTGTCTTCTAGAGACATGAAGTGCATTCTCAGAACTGCTGGTCCTGCTGCATCCTAGTGTTGAACGGTAGGGACTGGAATCAGGTCTGCCCTGCACAGTCCCAGTAGCCATCCCCTGGGGTTCGGAGTGTGTTCCAGGGAGCTCTGCTGGAGACAGCGTCACATTTAAGACCGGCTTGTGAAAACACAAGGGTTGGGGTGATGCCAGATGTGGTTACTTTAAAAGCCGAGTAATCGGTATTTAAAAATCGGTATTACTGTTTAATGACAATCTTAATGACAGTCTCTCTAAAAATAAGTCTCAAGGATTCAAAATAGTCTTCGCTTCAATTACTGAAACACGAAGACCAGATGAACTGTGGCTAACCCCAGATGAAGCTGTTACCCACTGTTGACACTGAGGTCCGTGCTGGTTTCTGCTCCAAAGGCAGTTCCTTCCACTGTTCTAGTGAACGCTGGGGCAGAGGTGACAGCTGCGAAGGACTTTCTGCACAGCCCAGACTTTGCACCCTGGCAGTGGGTCCTGGTGCTGTGAGATCAGGCCCCACAGGCTGTGTGCGGGCGGGAGCTGCCAGCGGGGAAGCAGTGGCGAAATCTGTGGCCTTCCTTTGATGATTCACCCTGACCACAGTTGGCTCATGTCAAGGTTGTCCGTTGTCAACTCTCTCCCCACACGTCTAGTGACTGGGAGGTTCTGCCACCTGAACCTCAGGCTGGGCCAGTGGTATTGTTACTTGGATGCCCTGGATGCTATCTGGGGTACCTCACAAGAGAGCAGACAGACGTGCAGAGAAAGCACACGCGTGGTAGAACACCCACGGACACTTGATGAGAGCGGATGGCCGAGGAGACGCCCGATGGCCTCCCAGTAATCATTTCTGCTTACAGGTCTAGACCAGAGTGAGTTCTAGCTCACTCCCAGCCTCGGCAGTGTCCGGGGAGCATGGACAGGACAGAGGGTGACCCCGGGTCCTTATGCTCACCCCAGGCAGCTGTGCAGGTCACATGGGACACCCATGGTTCTGCCGTTTTGATGTCGGTGGCTGTGACAGTAGCCACAGAAAGTAACGGGAGGACTAGCTACTCCTGGACCAGCTGCAGGTCAGTGTCCTGCAGGCGGGCATGTCTGTGACATCACTGGCTGACAGGTCCTGGCCCTGCTGTGCTCCTGGCCTTGGTAAATTGCGGCTTTTCTCCCCAGGTACTCCTCAGGGCCCAACTGTCCTAGGGATGCAATAGTATTTCAGCCACGACAGACAGTCCCCCTACACTGGTAACCCCACTAGTGATTTTCTACTTCGGGCTGTCCAGCGGGCATAGGTAGAGGACTTTACTCCGCCGACTGTACCTGTTCGCCGTGTACAGACTCAGGACAGCATGCAGGCCCCCTGCCTCCCGGTGTGAATGTGGGGAATTGGTCAGCAGCTGCTTCAGTCACAGCAGAGGATGGGAAGGTGTCCTGTTTCCAACATGATGGGCTCGTGGGTACCAGAGCGAATGCTCTCCCAACCGCAGCAGATGCTCCTTTGGGCTCCAGTGTTGTGCCTTGGCCTCTGGGAGCCTCCCAGGGCTGTCCTTGGGCTGTGATCCAGTGTATCTTCAGAGGCTTCGTGCTTCCTGGTGCAAGACGCCCCTGCCCCCTGCCCCTTCCTCCAGGGAGCTCCGCCCGTCTGCAGGAGCCAGGGCAGCACGGGCTGTGCTGCTGGGCCTGTGCTGGCCACTTTGCTGAGCAGTGCCAAAAGTGGAGTTTCCGTCACCAGTCCTCGTGGGCGCTCCCACTTCACTGTCAGCGTCTCCTTCATGTCTTCAGTTTGTAATTGCACAACTCTGTTCTCATCCTGGATGGCGGTATTTCGGATAACCCAAACATTTCATACTTGCTCGCTTCACCCAGACATATAAAGAAAAATTGTTTCCCAGTAATTACAGCATTATTACCACTGACACGGCTGTGTGAACATCCAACACGTTCCTTCAGTCTGGCCCTTAGGGTGCCTCTCCTGCGTGTCTGAGCGCCATGCAATAGTCCTCAGCTCACTTGCAGCAACCTTTGCTCTCTTCGTTGTGCACTTCGACTGCACAGAATTCAGTACAGTTGTTTCTTCCGGGGGCAGAGGGCCTGTGCACTTACCAAGGAGACGGAGAAAGGAGGAGAGGCGAGCACCCACCCTGGGTGCGGTGCACACCACCTCTTCTCAAAGTCCCTCCTTCATGATTTTAGGCGCTTGGAGTATTTCTCAACCCACCAGGATTTGAACTGAGGGATCAGCCATGTGGGATCTGGCTGCCTTTACCAGCAGGCCATGGTGCCTGCCTGTTTATTTTTATGTTCGCTGGGAAGGATTTGGCATTCTCACAGCGGTTCATTCTTAGAAGGTGATACTTCCGGCTACCACTCTCAGCTACGGGAGATGGTTTGACCACCTCTACCATCTGGCTCAGTGCCTCCACTCTGCGCGGTCTAGTCTGCTACGGTGAGTCCGGGCTGAGCGGGCCCGTGCTCCTTCTGCTACTTAGTTTCTGTCGCCAAACCATGCTCCGTGTAGGCGTGCGTGCACAAAGACCTGTCAGTCGGCAGCTGAGGTCCCATAGGAGCAATGGCTGGCCCACACAGCCTCAGAGTAACAGGCTGTGCCGGCTAAGT